GAAATATAATTACGTACCAATCCCGCACCCAAGTCTATCTCACGAATCCTTGGCATCCAGATTTTTTTGAAAAGCATGACGCGTACTCGGACAGCCAATCAGAAGTGGGTCACGTGATATAGCGGATTGGAACCTTGGAAGAGAGGTTCAACTTTAGCTGGTGTATGATCTATCCAGGTAGGACCTCCAACACAGATTTCAATATGAAAATACCAATCTGCACAACAGCGATCGAGTGACAGTTGGCCGTGGTTCAAACAATTCTCATCTTAGTTCTGTTTCTCTGCAAAACAATTTGAACCCAGGGAGAGACGGAGAGAGGCAGGGAACGCCGTATTATTCTCGCGTATAGATTATATGCATAAATAAACTCCAGTCAATACGAAGATATAGTACCCAGTACTCCGTAGTATGAGAGATGTTATCATAAAATCTCTGACCTCCAGCGCCGTGCTCTCCGTTCCGTTGTGATTTTTGTCCAGCCGCCCCATGTCATATATATTCAGCTCAGAAGGGGAGCTGTTCAAAAATACCAATGATGACAGCTATCTCAAATCAAGAGTGAAAAAGGAAAGAAGAAAAGAACCAAACAGCTTCACTACGTATATTACATGAAGACAGGTCGTTCTCCTAGAAGAAAGATGAAAGGGCCATTGCAAATCGAGACGTAACTAAAGGGAAAATAGAAAGGTTCGTATAGTATAGTGACCGCCCAGCGATGTGTGTATAGATATACTATATAAAACTTAAGAATTTATAAATCATGTCACAGACGAAACCCCTGATACTACGAAATTGCTCCTTTCACAACTTCGAGCTTGCACCCAGGGCAGTCCTTCTGAGTTGTTTGGTTGACGTATCCAGGTTTTCCGCAGACGACTCCTCTGCTGCGGAAGCAACTTTAAATACCTCCCGGCCTACCGCGTCAGTCATGGTGAGCACGCGAGAGGAGACGGTCGCACCGTCTCGTCGGTTTTTCCTGTTGTGTGACGTCAACGAAAGATATAAAAATTAGGGAAAGCAGCCCTTTTAATCCCTGTAAGAGAAATAAAAAGAAAAAGAAGGGAAAAAACAAAAGAAGAAGGTGTAGTTACATACCCTTCACGTCGTGACTGGGCTATCAAGCTCATAAAGTCCCACAACTTGCCGCGAGCTAGGAGTTTGCCTGTCGACGGATCACGTTCCGGCATCCAGCTGGGAGCGATTCTCATGGTGGCCGCTTGGCCTGCCGTCGTACCCTTATTTTTCGGCCTTGCGACGACAATGATTCTCTCCTCTTCGAATCGCAGAAATGCGTTCTTAAGGGTCTCTTTGTTGACGGCTTCGAAATATGAGAGGTCGCCTTGGTGGTATAGCGTTTTACCCAACTGTTGTTGATAATTAATATCAAGTTTACGTATGCATAGAAAGGCAGATTTTTTAGGGGTTTATCGTTACCAGTTGAGCACTATCCTGAGCCTTTTTCAGATCAACCCAAGCAGACTTGGGGCCATTATTGAGGGGAGGAGTGAGCCCTATTAGTGATACAGCTCCAAGCCAGCTTGCTTCGATAAAAGGCCAGATTAAGAAGCAGTAGAAATCAAAGTTTTCTCTGCCGCATTGTCGTTCCTCGAAACTCAACTCGATATATGTTGGTACGCTGGAGGAGTCTCTGGTGATTTTTATTACGTTATCTCGTTCAAGTCCATTAAGTGTCTTCTCGAGATTGTGGGCTAAGCCGTCCGGTGGGAAGATAAATTCTCCTCGGAAAAGCTTGAGAACGGGTTAGCTGAATTGTGAAAGCATTATACTTACTCTCAAAGGAATGAAAGCATATGGATATCTTCTTACCTGGGATAAGAACGTCACCTGGGTAACTAAGTCGTCATAACTGCTTCGTTGGTTCATTGGACCACCTCCTTGCTTTACACGGGCATACATTGCGGCGGACACGAGCGCTTCGGTGATGAAGAGGTGAATCGTCATATTCCTCTAGAAAGAGGAGCTGGAATCGGTCCACAGCGTAGAAAGTCGGTTCGGCAAGCCCACTAATTTCGCCGACTACCTTTGGCCCGAGAACTTCGATGGCTCGATCTACCACTTGTTCCTTCGGAGCCCTGTAAAAATGTGCTACTCTTCCGCCCTTAACACGAACCCGTTCGCAAAGCCAATTGACGCGGCGCACAAGTTCAGTTTTACCAACACCACGCCCTCGGAGAGTGAGGAGAACTGTTCCAACGAGCGCTGTCGGCATCACGACGGAGACACCATTGATGTCTGACAGAACGCGATATCCTAGGGTTCGGAGGAGGCGTCCTCTTTCCGCAACCCCCATTTTCACTTGCATCGCGCTGTTATTGGGGAGATTGTATATTCTAGTACACTGTTCCGCGACGAATGCTTTTAGGCTCCATGGCTCGTGGAATCTGACGTCAACTCTGCCGAGCTTGAGTGACAGGACAGACGAAGAATTAAGGAAATCCAATAAATTTTCCTTTTGTTTCGGTTGACCAAGGAGTTCACTTATATATGATCTGACCAGGTGCTGATTTTAGCATATGCTTTTCTTCAAGGCGCTTGTAGTTTGAATATATATACATACTCAGTCTCGATAACCTTATCGTACTGCGTGCTCACTGGGCAGATGATTGCGTCTTCGACTCGACCGGAGGCAACGCTATCCAAGATAAAGCTGAGGATGCCGAATTTCGGCGTTAGGAGTTTCCCCGTCCTTGACCGACCGCCCTCCACGAAACATTCAAAATTGAAGCCTTCTTTTAGAAGGGTATCGACATAAGCCTGTACAAGCGTATGGTACAAGGGATCATCCCCAAATGTCCGACGGATCCACATTGCGCCTAGACATATTGTTGGTTCGTAGGAGAGACAATACATGGGATGGGGGCTGCTAGGAACTGTATAACATACCTGTATGTTGCAAGAAGTTCCCGAGTAAAGGAATATTCAAATTATCTCCAGCCACAACCACGGGTAATCCAATTCCCAGACGGTAGCAAATAAGTTGCAGGGATACATAATCTACATGGGATCTGTGGCAGGGCAAAAATACTATAGATTGCTTGTTCTTTGCTGCAGTTTGCGCGACCGACCTGAGACGGAGGACTTCCTCACTCGAAACGTGAATCCCTAAAAATCCTAGATAAGTATTCTTATATTTTTGGGCTTCAAGTAGAACTAAAAAAGAAACGTACCTTGATGATAAGCTCGCGTAAGCAACTGTGTACAAAGATAATACGCTCCCCGTACAAAATTTTTGCTTTCCATTTTGCAAATCATATTCTCCATCATCGTATCGACGACCTCTTTTAAATTGGACTCAATCTCGTTCTTCCGTCTTATTCGATGGCCATCGCCATCTTTCGATTGTGCGGGGTCCAGCAATCCTTGCTCTTCTTCCACCTGCGATCGCAGCTCCGCCAGTTCAGTAATCTTCGCCTTCAATAACGGATTACTCATAATATTTGACTTCATTTTCTCGGAGAAACCAGGATAGAATATGGGCTGGCCAATAACGTTATCGTAGGCTCGCCATCCTGTTCCTGACACAAACAAGCTGACTTCGCGCATGAACTCAAAGGGATTCTCTCGGAAGCGTGCCATGTTCCGCACCAGCTTCCGTTCAGTAATGCCATCTTCGACCTCTGGACCGCCAGTGAATCCTGTAGGATGTACAGTGACCCGATCTCCGACAATCTCTAGATCTGGGGCCATACGGCCCCCATCCTTTGAAGAAGACATGCTGCTACCTCTGTGTTGTGGAAGCTATCAAATGCTCAGAAAACGGGTGTCAGCTTGGCTCCGGAGAGAGGCGGCCGCCATAGTCCGCGTATTGAGCAGTCTCAACGTGCAAGGTCGAAAGAAACCGACTCTCTCCTTCTTAAGAAGAGCCTACCTCAGGAGACGCGAACTGTTGAGCTTTCTTGGGTCACTTTGGTCCTCTCTAATGCCTCGGCTGTTTAAATAGTCACATGACATTCTTGACTACATGCCTATGACTTATCTCAGTAAAACTCAGCCACTCCACTTCGAGCTAACCTGATCCGAACTACTGCCAAGTCCTGCTAACATCTAAGCCAATCAACTGTCAAGGGGCTTACACTAAACCTAAATGGGACATCCTCAGCAAACTCTTCGCGGAGCGTCTGAGAAAAAACAGTTCCAGTTTGTTAGCAACACAGGAACGATTTGCTCTAACCATAAAATTTGAGATAGAATCACTGTACAACCTCACTTATAGATCATTTTTCTACCATCTTGAAGGATTAATTTTCCAATTTTCTATCAATTGAACTAATTTTTATTCAAAAATACATATATTGTAAGTATGAAGTATTGCGTTGAAAACTGCTACTCTGATTTTGAACATGGGAATGATTTGCTAATTTTTCAATCATGATCATGTCTAATCACTCAATGCCTTGATCTTGTCATCAAAACACATATTCAGTCATCAGTAACTCTAGTCAAAGCACTGAGTGTATTTTCTGATGATTTTTGACATTTTTTGATGATGTTCAACAACTTCTAACAACTTTCATCAACTTCATATAACTTTTGATCATCTCACACAGCACATCAACTTCTGACAACGTCTGAGATCTTTCAACAGTTTCTGAAATCTTTCAACAATTTCTGAATCAGTCATATAACACCGTTTTTTGACAGCTGAGTCAGACACTCTGTTGAATATAGCTAAAAAGGATTGGAGAAAATTGTCACACCTTGGTTGTGCCAAGGCCCCGTGGCGGCTCCACACGGCCCATCGCTTCCCCTCGGATAATCCCATCTATCCCATAACGTCACGCAGGTGTCCGAACCGGTTTCCAACCACCCTATGACATCATTCGGATGCAATAGAAGAGGATCCGATTGATGGGATATGAGAAACCTGTTTCTATACGGGGTCAGTAGATTCCTTCTGGCAGATCAATGCAGCGCCACTGCGGAGTTGCTTCGGCTACCCTCGCTCATAGAGTAAGGGGAGGATGGCTGCCCGTTGTCTATATAGAATAGCTAGATGCTGGCTCTCTATTCCAGGAGCCAGCGATTCGTCTTTTATCTTTTGACAATAAGATACCAGAGTTACCACTGTCCTCATACAATATCCTTAGTGTGCCGAGTACCTCTGGTAGTTCAGTATTTGTATAGTATTCTACGAGTTCGCGGTTCAAGCGAGATAATCAAGCCCACTCATAAGGCTTCCCATTATATACCATCCTCTTCTGTGCCGGGGTGCAGTAAAAATCGACTTCGAACCAGACATTTACTAAAATCTCTACAATCAATCGTCTGGATTGGGTATGCTGAGCAGCTGTCAGCTGCTTTTCAACACGGCCGCTATCGAGAAATCCTTCGAATCGAATTGAGCCCTAACGAACGAGAGAGCAATCCCAAACGGGAGATCTTTCTTCTTGTCAAGCCTACTTTCTTTCATTCCTAAATGCTCATTGGGCTAGAGACTAACCGTGCCTCCCGTTGCCGCCCCATACTGAAGAATTGGCACTCGATCAATACTGGGCCATGGCCGATTCTGGCTTGGC